TGCTTACTTAGGTAATATCATTTTCTTCTTGGGTCTCTGAGGGAGTTGAAGATTAGATAGTTATAGTTTTCCTTGGTAACAAATTCAGAAAAGAAACTCACTAAAGAGGTATAATGTGTATAAGCTTGAAAGACATTAAAAGATAGTTTTTGGATGGTAATACAAGTTAGGATAGAAAGTGAATTACGTATACTTTGGACTCACCAAAATAGGATAGATAATGGAGTATTTTCTCTGTCAAATGTTAATGGACTAGACATTGTTAATGTAATTCTTCACTGTATATATTATATATACTTATTGTATATAGTTTTTCTTGTATTAGTTATAACCCTCTTTTATTATTTTAGACAAAAAAGGGGAAATGTGGTGTTATAGTGTACCCTAATAAACTTTGCCTGAAGATCAGAGAACAGAACAATCTACTAGATTAAACATAGAGGCCAGGCAGTGGTAGCACACACCTTTAATCTTAGCACTCAGGAGGCAGAGATCTGTCTGGATCTCTGTGAGTTCAAAGCCACCCTGGACTACACAAGATTGATTCAGTCTAGGAGAAAAACAGAGCCAGGCAGTGGTGGCACACACCTTTAATCCCAGTACTTGGAAGTCACATGCCTTTAATCCCAGCACTTGAGATCTCATGCCTTTGCTTGGGAAGCACACACGCCTTTAATCCCAGAAAGTGATGGCTGAGCAGAGAAAGGTATATAAGGCATGAGGAGTTGGTGAGGTAAGAGGTAGTGGCTGTGGCTTGTTCCTTTGTCTCTCTGATCTTTCAACATTTACCCCAATATCTGGCTCTGGGTTTTTTATTAACACCATTTAGGAATTCATGTTACAATTTGAAAACTGTTTTTTTTGTTTATCTCTTTTAGAGTCTGTCAGCAAGGTAAACTACTGGTGTCTGCCTTTCTCAGCGGGGGACCTAGGGGCTCTAGAAAAATGAGGCCTGAATTTACATATGAAATGAACTGACCGGTCAGCTGAAGCCTTAGGGGGAAGAGCTGGGTTCCTGACACTGATAACATAAAGTTACAGTTAGCTGTCAACATCATCAGAGATCTGAGAAGGATAAATTACAGCAGGAAATAAAACCCAAATGGCCTGTGTATCAATTAAAATGACAGAGATTTGCCACTACCTGGATGGTTACCATAGGCTCCCATGGTCTCAGTGGTCTCAGTGGTCTTGATGCCTTCACTAGGGGAAGGAGTTTCCCCATCTGTCACACAGGACACCATTATGTCTTTGGCTTCTGTGCCAGGCAGCTTTCAGCTGCCAGACCCAGAAGGTCTGAGAGATTTTTCCTGTGGAGGAATGTGGTGGTATTGTGTTCCCCAAAATATCATGTACCTTAATAAACTTATCTGGGGTCAGAGAACAGAAAAGCCACTAGTTAGGCCATGATAGCACACACCTTTAATCCTAGCATTCCAGAGACAGAAATCCATCTGGGATCTCTGTGAGTTCAAGGCCACATTGGAAACAGCCAGGCATGGTGACTCACGCCTTTAATCCCAGAAAGCAAGCCTTTAATCCTAGGGGGTGATGGTAGAAAGCAGACAGGTATATAAGGCGTGAGGACCAGAAACTAGAAGTATTTGGCTGGTTAAGCATGTGGCTGGTTAAGCTTCAGGCTTTTGAGCAGTAATTCAGCTGAGACCCATTCCGGATGAGGACTCAGAGGCCTCCAGTCTGAGGAAACAGGACCAGCTGAGGAATTGGCAAGGTGAGATAGCTGTGGCTTGTTCTGTCTCTCTGATCTACCAGCATTGACCCCAATAACTAGCCTCAGGTTTGATTTTATTAATAAGAACTTTTAAGATTCCTGCTACAGAGGAGGAGCTTGGGAAAACTGATGTACAGTGACAAGACACAGTGGGACAGTCAAGCCCATATGGCCACAGTTTGGGTGAGGCTCTGGTGGTGGGCAAGGCATGAGGCAGTTCTGCCCAGCTGCAGTGTCTGGGCCCCGTTGTTTTCTTTGGAGACCTTAGGGTTGCTGCTAGGATCTGGCATCTCTGTCAACCATGGGGGAGCTTTTTCTATTAAACACTTTAAAAGCCATATTCAGCAGATCTCTGAGGAGTTTGAGGACCATTATTTATTTACTATATTAACTATACCTGATTTTAAACAAACTTTACTTGTTTTCAGTTACTTACTTTAGGCTTAATCTTGAAAACATATACAGGAGCTAAATAAAGCTTGTCATTAAATGAACTACACTTGTACTTAGCATGACTATGAGCCTAGTTCTGAGCACAAAAAGAATTCGATCATCTATAAGGTAACTGAGAATTAACTTGCATGTCTTAATTATCTTGAACAGTTTACAAGTTAGTGGATTTTATAAGATAATTACAACTTAATTCCTGTTAAGTCTGAGACTTAAAATTTTGAATTGAAGATTTAATTGAAAATACTTTAGCAACAAAATAAAACTTTAAACATGAATAAAAATGAATACAGTCCATAGGGAGATTCTGAGTTAGAGGCTAGTCTGATCTACAGAGCAAGTTCCAGGACAGACAGGGCTACACAGAGAAACCCTATCTAAAAAAAGAAAGATGGGAAGGAAGGAAGGAAGGAAGGAAGGAAGGAAGGAAGGAAGGAAGGAAGGAAGGAAGGAAGAAAGAAGGAAAGACCAAAAAAAAAGATCTAACACTTCTTGGGGTGTCTTACATAAATACAGAGGTCAGGAAACCTCGCCCAAAGTGGACGGCGCCTCTCTAGAGTCGTCATTGTTACGTCATTCCTGACATTGTCCTTGTCTGTCCCATCACGTGTGCCATGCCCCTCCAGTCCCCCTCGGCAACACTTCACTGCTTCTACAACCTTGCAATGGGGATTTATCAATCTTGGCTCCACTTCCTGGGCCTGGGGAGTCTCCAGGAGGGACTGTCTCAATCAGGAAGAAATAGCTGCCTGACAGAGCAGCTGGGGAAAGATACTGGAAAGACAACGCCTTCAATGATTTGAAGTTCTAAAAGCTGACTTCAAAGGAAACAAGACAGAAGAGACAGAGTGGAGAGAGGACAGCAGTTAGGCAAAGGAAAATGCCATCAGACCACTTTCGGGAGGAGGGGGTACACATCATGACAAGTGTGTGGAGGTCGTAAGACAGCTTGCAGGAGTTGGTTCTCCCCTGGCTCCATGTTGTTCCTCAGGGCTTGAACTCAAACTTGGCACCAAGCATCCCCACCCACTGATTTGTCTCACTGGGCCCTTGCCAAGGGTTTATTTATTAGTAATCGATTTATTCATTTTAACTCATGTGTATGTGTGTGTGGATGCTCTCAGAGGCCAGAGGTGTCTGATCCCCTGGTGCTGGAGATACAGGTGGTTGTGAGCCACCTGGCATGGGTTCTGGGTCTTCTGAGCAAACTCTGGTCTTCTGGAGCAACAGCACATGCCCTTAACTGAGTCATCTCTCCAGTCCTGGACCAAAGGTTTCTGATGAAGCTCAGCAAAGCTGTGTTAGAGGAAAGCAAGTCAGAGAGGCTGGAGGGTATCCATGGTAATGGCATGGTGACCTGGGTGCCCGGTGGTCTCCAGGCAGATCCTGATGTCCAAGTGTCTCACCTCCTGTGGACACATGGCAAAGCAGGTGTCTGTCCTGTGCTCCAAAGGCCAGAGCTTCTGTGCTTCTGGATATGTCCCCATCAACCATAACAGGTGCATCTTCAGCACAGATGTGCTCAGTGCTGGAGGTGAGAAGTATAAACACTACTGCAAGCTGCTCTGAGATCAGGGGGAGGGGAGGCTGGTGGATGGGTGGCCACACATTCATACACACGAAACAGGACGCACCTGCCCTGAGCTAGCTTCCGGCTGGGGAGACTACTCTGTCAGGAAAGTGTGCAAGCATGAGGACCTGAATCAGCCCCTGGGACACACACAGTAGGAGAAGGAACTCACTCCTCCAAGTTGCTCTCTGGCCACCACATGTGCATGTATACACAATCAGGGAGGAGGAGAGAGAGTGGGGGAGGGAGAGAGAGTGAGGAGAAGGAGAGGGGGGAGAGAGAGCTAGAGTAGGAGATAGTGAGAGAAAGGAGAGAGAGAGAGAGAGAGAGAGAGAGAGAGAGAGAGAGAGAGAGAGAGAAAGGGAGAGAGAGAGAGAAAACAAGCATGGTGGCAGAAGCTTGTAATCCCAGCTCTGGGGAGGCAGTAACAGGCTGGTCCCTCGGCTTTCTAACCAGCCAGCCTACTTGGCAAGCTCCAAGCTGGGGAGAGACCTCATCTCAAAAACCAAGATGGACAGCACAGCCCCAGAGAAACAACACCCAAGACTGACAGCTAGACTACACACACACACACACACACACACACACACACACACACACACACACACACACACCAGAAACTTAACAAGCAGGCTGATGTGTCTCCTCTGTCATTGGGAACACTTAGTCCAACCTGCTGACTCTCCGTCTCTTCCCAGACATTCCCTTTCTGACGGTTCTCGATTTTCAGATCTGCTCTCTGCCAAAGATACGGAAATGAGCCTTTCTTCCCGGTTCCAGACATTTCTCGATCTACCTTTGTCTTCATGTGTCATCTTGGGCAAGGTCTCCGTACTTCGAATCTTGATTTCTTCAAAATCCTACACCTGATTCAGCCGCAGGGTGTCTGGTGAGCTGTGTGCCTCTGATCTTCCACGGGAGCTGGCTTGTGCCCTTCAGCTTAGTGGCATACTTCAACAGTAAATGTTAGTAGATTGCGCTTCCCTGAGAGATATTGTGATGGTATCTCTCAGATACCAGGGTGGACTTCTCCATGTTCTGATCACAGGTGGATTCCAAGCAGGGGCTCCATCCCTGAGCCACTCCCCCAGCCCCTCACTGGGGATTCTAGGCGGGGCTCCACCCCGACCACGCCCCCAGCCCCTCACTGGGGATTCTAGGCGGGGCTCCACCCTGACCACGCCCCCAGCCCCTCACTGGGGATTCTAGGCGGGGGCTCCACCCCTGAGCCACGCCCCCAGCCCCTCACTGGAGCTGACCCTGGATATATTCATAAATTTTCATCCCTTTCTAGAGAGACTCCATGAGGCCACCACCTAACAGTTACAGTATGATGTAAAATTATCCCACTGGGACCCTTTACCAAATCACCTGTACTTCCCTCGACAGTGATGCACTCTGGGAGGATGGGGGCATCAAATGCGTCCACAACCTCAGATTTCACCCTCGTGGGGCTCTTCAGCTACACAGGGCCCCATCTCACCCTCTTCTTCCTCGTGGCCACCATGTTCACCGCAGGACTGCTGGGCAACACCATCCTGATTCTCCTGATTGCCACAGACTCCAGACTCCACACACCCATGTACTTCCTGCTCAGCCAACTCTCACTTCTGGATGTTGGCTTCCCGCTGGTCACCATCCCCAAGATGGTGGCTGACTTCCTGCAGGGAGAGAACACCATAACCTTGTGGGGATGCGCCACCCAGATGTTCTTCCTCATGCTCATGGGTGTCTCTGAGGGTGTCCTTCTATCCCTCATGTCTTATGACCGCTACGTGGCTGTGTGCCACCCCCTGCATTACCAGGTGCTCATGAGAGGCCAGGTGTGTGTGGTGATGGTGGGCGCATCCTGGTTCTCGGGTGCACTTGTGGCCTCCATCCAGACCTCCATCACCCTGCAGTTCCCCTACTGCGCCTCACACACCGTGGACCACTTCTGCGAGCTGCCAGCCCTCCTCAAGCTGTCGTGTGCAGACACGTCCGCCTATGAGTTGGCGCTGTCTGTCTCCGGGGTGTTGATCTTACTGCTGCCATTGTCGCTCATCTTCACCTCCTACGGCCACGTTCTGGGGGCCGTGCTGCGCATGCACTCAGCCGAAGCGAGACACAAGGCCTTCACCACGTGCTCCTCGCACGTGGCCGTCGTGGGTCTCTTCTATGGGGCGGCTGTGTTCATGTACATGGTCCCGGGCAGCTACCACAGCCCACAACAGGACAATGTGGTATCCCTCTTCTACAGCCTCATCACCCCCACCCTCAACCCCCTCATCTACAGCCTGAGGAACAGAGAAGTCCGAATGGCCTTGGTCAAGGCCATGGGCAGGGCTGACTTCAGGGCCAAGCGGTGATGTCCTGGGATGCTGGTTTTCCCAGGAGCTCGTCTCTAAGGCTGGGCATGCCCACAGTTCACTGCAACTAGCCAGCTGCCTCCTCCAGGGTGCACTTCTCACTTCTGGGTGAACTTGCAGAAAAGTAGGTGTTATGCCCCACCCAGCTTGGGGTGCATGCCGGTCATCTCCGCACCAGCACAGGGGTGCCGAGGCAGGAAGGTTAACTCAACTTTTCAGCCAGCGTTGGAGACATAGCAAGAAGCTGCCTCAAAAAAAAAAAAAAAATACATTTAGGGGAAGGCAGATGGATTGGCTGTTTAGAGCACTTGCTGTTCTTCCAAAGGGCCTGCACTGGGTTTCCAGCACCCGCATCTCACAGCTCACAACTGCCTGTAGCTCCAGCTCCAGGAGATCCAATGCCCTCTTCTGTCCTCCTTGGGCACCCTCACACTTATGGCATATACACACATAATAAATGTTTTGTAAATTATTTAAATAAGAGGGCAGGTGTTCTAGGCTGCACATGGTGAAGCATGCTTTTTACCCCGGCATTGGGAAGGTGGAGGCAGGAGGATCGGGATTTCATAGTTGGCCTGAGGAAATGGCTTCAGCCTTTAAATGCTTGCCACATAAGCATGACGATGTGAGTTCAGATTCCCAGAGCCCACACAAATGTTGAGTGGTCATGATAATCTCAGTCTCCAAAGACAGAGATGGGATCCCCAGAGCAAGCTGGCTTGACAGACTAGCCACATTGGTGAGCTCTGAGTTTTATCGAGAGACCCTGCCTCAAAGAATAAGGTGGACATGGAGGACTGGAAAAGGAGTCCTGACATCAACCCCAGGCCTCCACATGTGCACACACACATACACACATGCAAAAATACATACACACCACACATGAAAAATAATGATAAATACAAATTAAAAAGCAGTCCAAGGTCATTCTCAGGTACATATTGAGTTTGAAGTCAACCTGGACTACGTGAGACTGTTTCCAAAAAAAGAAGCACTGATAGATATGGCCCTTCAACTTTGTATTCACAGAACCATAGACCAAAATAAACCTCTTTCCCTTATAACTTATCAGCCATTGTGTTATAGCAACAGAAAGTGAACAGAGGCACTAAAGCCAGCCTGCCTCACGCCATGATTAACATTTCTGCAGTCTGGGAGGGATTGTTGTCTAGTGATTTCCTCCAAACTCCCGGAGAAGGGATGAAGGCTCATATCATAGACGAAGGAAGTTAACAAAACTTACACGTTTCAGGAAACTCCTCAAATGTACAGGATTTGCAAGGCCCCTCCCCAAGGCTACAGAGCGGTAAGAACTGCTGGGGTGGAGACTTGAGGTGGAGCTGTCTGCAAGTTGTACAGCTTCTGTGAGTCGACCACCACGCTGTGAGGGGCTTTGGGAGCTGCCTTTGAGTCACCCATACTCTCCAAGTGACCCCAGTGAACGCACTGGTTCCCTGAGCTGGAGTGGGTAGAGTACTTTCTTTGGTCTGTGGTCAGTGCCTGTCCAGAGTCAACAAGCCTTTATTCACTTCTCTCCAGGATTAGTCACAGGGCACGAAGGGCATGGTGGCTCATGACTTTGATCCAGCCATCTAGAGATTGAGGCAATTGTGTCTTTGTAAGTTCGAGGCCAGTCTGGTCTACATTGTGAGTTCCAGGCCAGCCAGGGCTACACAGTGAGACCCTGTCTCAAAAGAAGAAGAGGGGGGGATCACAGGCCAGGACTCTAGGATCCAACCTCTGAAATCCACAGAGAAAGAACCGCCAACAAGGCTCTGAAACTTCCAGCTCCTGCTGACCTTGGCAGTGACTTTGCTTGGGTCACATCCTCAAGTTTTACCTAAGTAGAAGAACAGCGACTCAGGGTGACCCTCTCTGGCCAGTCAACACATGAGTTATTGTGCTGTTTTGATAGTTACAGAGCTGAGTGGTGGAATGGGAACCCACCAATGACTACCAACTCTGTCACTGATTGATGCTGCAATTTTTTTTTTTTTGTTTTGTTTTTCAAGACAGGGATTCTGTGTAGCCCTAGGTGTCCTAGAACATACTCTGTAGACCAGGCTGGCCTTGAACTGCCTGCCTCTGCATCCTGAGTGCTGGGATTAAAAGTGTGTGCCACCACTACCTGGTGATACTGCCATGTTTAAGCCTCTGTTGTCACTGACAGTGGACCCAAGGCTTAATGAAGATTGCTCACTCAGAGTTTAAAGTGGACAGTGTCTGCACTGCGGTTAGTGGTTTAGACAGGGGCTTGATTTATGATCCACGCCCCCAGCCCCTCATTGGGAGATTCTAGGCAGGGGCTCCACCCCTGAGCCATGCCCTCAGCCCCTCACTGGAGGAATTTAGACAGGGCTCCACCCCTGAGCTACATTCCCCCCTCCCAGTTCTTTTTCTCTTTATTGTGGGACAGGACCTATCCTTGAATTCACTGTTTGTAATTCTTTCGCCTCAGCCTCCAGCCAAAGTAACTGGAATGGTAATGTCTGCATCACCATGCCTAGAAAATGTCAAAGTGAGCTGGGCGGTGGTGGCGCGTGCCTTTAATCCCAGCACTTGGGAGGCAGAGCCAGGCGGATCTCTGTGAGTTCTAGGCCAGCCTGGGCTACAGAGTGAGTTCCAGGAAAGGTGCCAAAGCTACACAGAGAAACCCTGTCTCGAAAAACCAAAAAGAAAAAAAAAGAAAGAAAGAAAAAAAGAAGAAAGTGTCAAAGTGTTTTGATCTTCAGTGATGGAGTGCTTGTATCCATTAGCAAATCTTTTTTTTTTTTTTTTTTTTTTTTTGGTTTTTTTGAGACAGGGTTTCTCTGCGTAGCTTTGCGCCTTTCCTGGAGCTCACTTGGTAGCCCAGGCTGGCCTCGAACTCACAGAGATCCGCCTGGCTCTGCCTCCCGAGTGCTGGGATTAAAGGCGTGCGCCACCACCGCCCGGCCATTAGCAAATCTTAACAATCAAAATCTAAATAGGTTTGTTTTTAAATGACTTATTTATTACTTGTTTTTTATTTATTTGGTGTGTGGTCGGAGAACAACTTGTGGCAGTCAGTTGTTCCACCATATTGAACCCAGGGATCAAAATCAAGTCAGCCTTGATGGCAAGCACCTTTGCCCAGTGAGCCCTTGAGCCAGCCCTAAATATGTTCTTAAATAGTCAGTGTCATGAAAGATCAAAGAAAGCTGAGGAGTTCCTCAGATGAGCATACACAAGACACACGGTGTCCTGGTTAGAGCTGAGGAGTTCCTCAGATGAGCGTACACAAGACACACGGTGTCCTGCTTAGTTTTGTCAACTTGACCCGAGTGTCAGTCATCTGAGAAGAGGGAACCACAACTGAGAAAACACCTCTGTAAGACAAGCCTATGGGCAAGCGTGTAGGGGATTTCCTTGACTAATGATTGATGTGGAAGGACCATGACAATCCTGGCCTGGTGGTCCTGGGTTCTATGAGAAAGCAGGCTGAGCAAGCCAGGGGAAGCAAGCCAGCAAGCAGTACCCCCGCATGGCCTCTGCATCAGCTCCTGCCTCCAGGTTCCTCTTACCCAGTTTGGTTTCCCTCAATGACTGTGATTCAGGACATGTAAATCAAATGAACTCTTTCCTCCCCAAGTTCCTTTTGGTCATGGTGTTCTAATGACCACAGCAGTAGAAAGCAAACTAAGACACACAGCAACTGAATGGACCCAACCAGACAGAAAAAGAAAACACTAACTATGGACACTGAAGCCAGAAGTGATGGTCCACACCAGCCATCCAAGCACCGAAGAGGCAGGAGGCAGGGATATGGAGAGTTCTAAGCCAGCCTGATCTACATAGCTAGACTCTATCTACAACAAGATAAAACCCCAAAGTATAATCAAGCAACTCCTGTCATGATGGTACACCTGTCATCCCACAATAAAGGAGGTTGAGGCAGGAGAATAGTCAGGCCAGGCCAGCCAGGGCTACATGGTGAGATCCTGTGGTGGGGGTGTGGGGTAGTCTACAGTATGACATTTACACACTAAACATCCGCCTTGAACCACGACTCCATAAAAATCTCAACTAATTTGGAAACACTGTAGCTGTGTGTGGTTCAATGGAAGAGCGCTTGCCTGGCATGGGTTCATCTGCTACACAGGAAAAGGGGAGGGGAGGGGAGAGAAGAGAGAGAGGAGAGAAGATGGAGGATGGAGAAATAAGGAGAAGACTGAGAAGGGAAGAAGGAAAGACAGAGGGAGGAAGAGAAGGGAGGAGGAAGAGGGACCCGGGAGGAGGCACCTCTGGGGTTAAAGCTGCTAAGCTCTGTGCTGTGATTCTCACTGTGGCCACTAGGGGACGAGGTGCCTCCTCCAATCCGCACAGCCTCGCTGCTGCTCACTCCCAGAGTTAGGGTGATGCCTGAAGGTGCTGCAGAGTCCCCCAAAACGCGGGAGAACCACAGGAAAAGGTTTAAAATCATGCAATCCAGTGTTTCACAACATCAAAGCATGCAGCAAAATAAAAATTCATGAAGATACTGGAAGGCCAGGTCCGGTCTCCACGCGATGAGGACCGGCCTCCGGATCCCACCCAGTGCTGGTGGACTGGTGTGCATCTTCATCCTGAATGCTCTAATCCTTTTCTTTGTTTTGCCTTTTAAGAAGAGTTGTTTTGTTGGGCAGTGGTGGTGCACACCTTTAATCTCAGCACTTGGGAGGCAGAGGCAGGCAGATCTCTGATTCAAGGCCAGCCTGGTCCAGGGCTACACAGAGAAACCCTGCTTCGAAAAAGCAAACAAACAAAAGAACAAAAAGAAGTTGTTTTATTTTTTACGTATGTGTGTTTGTCTGGGGAGGGGGCGTTGAGCTTGTACATGTGTGTGCAGTGCCCTCAGAACCAGAGCAGAAGCTATAATTACAGGCAGTTGTGAACTGGGAGCTAGGAACTGAACTAGTGTCCTTGGCAAGAGCAGAAAATGCTCTTGCCTACTGAGCTGTCTCCAATCTCTCCGCCTCCCATGATCAGGACGCACGGTGTTCAAGCCGCAGCACATCCAGCTGGAAGCTCCTGTGGTCCCCTGGGAAGACGTGAGTGCGCCCTCACAGCACCTCTCCCAAAGACTAGCTTGTTCATCCCAGCAATGGCTTCTCTCCTGCCAGCCCCTGACACCCAGTCCCAGCTGAGCAGCTCCCGGACAGCAGAGAAAAGCTCGGCCCCAAGCCCTGTGCCTGAGAAACTCCACGGTGGGAGAGCAAGCAGCAACAACAAAAACCGCAGGTCAAGGGTAAGGGGAGCCCAGAGCCAGGTCTCGGGCCGGAAGCGGTGCCGGGAAGTGTGTCCTGCAGAACGGGCTTGGGATAAACAGAGTTCAGCTTGAGGAACAAACCCGCAGGAGATGTGGGGAAATTCCTGTCAGAGGACCCAAATATGCAATTTGGCGCCCCAGAAAGCCTAGTTTAGAAGGGAATGGGAGATGGGGAGTGATAATAGAAAAAACTAGTGAGGTCAGTGGGAAGCTGACCCCTCGTGAGGTTGGGGAGCCACCCCTCAGCAAGGGGACAGAGCCAGTTGCTGCTGCTGTCAAAGTGAGGCAGGGGAGCCATTCCTGGAAGAACAGGACCAGGCTGAGAGGAATGGTAGGGCATTAATTCCGGGGACTCCATTCCCACTGGAGGATATGAGAGTGTTACATGCCTGAACACATATGGACAAAACAGGAATTGCGCCTGCCGTAGACAATTGTGTCCCTCGTCCCCCAAAGAGATAACAAAATAATAGGCATGATTGGGGGCTACTGCTCCCAGCAGCAGGAAGCCACAAACCTACCCCGGGGTTTGGGCAGGACTAACAGTGCCAGGGGAATTCTACTGAACCATGCTCTTCAGGGAGTCCCCCAAAGAATCCCAGAGACACGGGCGCCACAGGTGTGGAGGGAAAACCTGGGAAGGAGCTCCTGTGCCCTCGGCCCCTGAGAAGCTGGCCCGATAGGAACCGATCACAGAACAGACAATTAGCCAGTGTCCTAACAAGACCCTAGGGACCACGCCCAGGCTATGAGGATGGAGGGTAAATAGTGCTCTACCAAGGCCTTGCCTTGTCCTTGGTAGGGACAAAGAGCTTCGTCCACGGGTCACACACCTGTCCAAAAGACCCTTTCCCAAGAAAAGCTGGCTCACCTCCCACCAGGAATCCCAGAGTCGGAGGGATACTTCCCATAGGTGAGTGGAGATAGATGAGCTGGGCAGAAGGAGAAAGGGGCCACACCAGGCAGTGAGCTGTGGAGGGTTCAGAGGAGCCCACTCTGTGACCCTTTCTAGACCTCATTAAGTCATGGGTATAAAAAAAGACACAACAAAATGGCAGTTCTGCTGAGTGGTCACCGTGCCTGGGTCCTGCGTGGCAATGTTTTGAGACAAGATCTTATGTGGCCCAGGCTACCTGGAGCTTGTAATCCTCCTTCAACCTCTTGAGTGTTGGGGTGACAGATGAGCCTACCATGCTCAGGCTGCATAGTATGGTATTAAGAGCTTTGGAGAAAGACAGACTGACATGGGACAATTGCTAATTTCCTGAGTCCCCTCAGTGCATGAATGGTGATAAGGGACCTTAGCTGGAGTGGTCTTCTGTATACAGCAAGTGTCTCATGAGTGGAAGCTGCCAGCTATCAGCAGCAGGTCAGCAGGAAGCCAGTGCAAGATTTTACAGAGGAGAGGCAGGTCCCCTCACCCTGATCAGGTGCCATTGTAGAGAGTGGTCCAGATCAAGCCTGGTGCCAAAGAAACCAGCGAATGGGTAAAGTTGAGAGTCAACAGGATGAGCTGAGAATCAGCAGGGGCAGGGAGGCTGGGTGTGGTGACCCTCACCTGTCATCCCAGCATGCAGGAGGCTGAGGCAGGAGGATGATGAATTCCAGATCAGATTGGGCTAGAGTGAGACCCTGTGTCAACAGACCAAAGGTGGGGCATGTGGCACAGTGGAAGAGTGCCAGCGAGCAGAGTCCCCGGATCCATCTCCAGCACCACAAATAATAATGAAAACTGAAAAAGAGGGCAGAAGGGAAGAAAGAGGAGAGGGGGGGGGAGGAAGAGGAGGAAGAAAGGATGAGAAGGGAGAGGAGGAAGTAGAGGGTGAAGAGGATGTGATATATAAGACGGTCAGCACCCTTGGACAATCAACGGCCACCATTGTCCACCCCGAGCCCTGCCTGGGCAGCTCTGACTTTAATGGAAGTGAAGCTAAGCCAGGGGGTCCAGAATCAGGCCAGACACTGAGAGAGGGTGGACACAGCCTCTGGGGTCTGAGCAAGCCCAGCAAGGATGAGGTCACCCGAGAGGAGTGAAGGGTCCTTGGGTGACGGCTCACAGGAGCGGTGGCCTTTGAGCATAGAACGGTGTTGGGGTCTGAAATTAACTAACCAACTCAGGCAGGGCTGAAAAGTGGGAATAGTGTGTGTGCGCGCGCGCGCGCGCGTGTGTGTATGTGTGTGTGTGTGTGTGTGTGTGTGTAGGTATGGAGGTCAGAGGAAAATTTGTAAGATTCTTTTTTCTCCCTCCATCATGTGAGAACTGGGGATCGAACTCAGGTTGTCAGACTTGGCAGCAAGCTCCCTTACCCACTGAGCCATCTTGCCAGCCTGAATTTCCTCCTTTTTTAAGCAGACCTACTTCTGGTCACACATCCAGGAAATGATCAGCAGAGCATAGAAGCACTCAGCTGTCATCCACGCACTGGGAGGTGGAGACAGGAGAATCAGGAGTCCAAAGTCAGCCTTGGTCCATCAAACCTTGGGTCTGGAACTCCCTGTACAGGCCCATAAGATAAGAAGCTCAGTGGATAAGAATCTGTGCTGCTCTTACAGAAAGCCCTAAGTTCCCAGTGCCCATGTTGGGCGACTCAAAACCACCTGTAACTCCAGCTGCAGGGGACCCCATGCCCTCTTCTGACCTCCTAAGGCTCTATACTCATACATGCATAGTTATAAAAACACTAGAGCCATGCATGGTGGTCAGTGCCTATAATCCCAACACTGTGAGCTCAAGGCCATCCTGAACTACATAGTGAGATAATTTCTCAAAAAAAAATAAAAATAAACCAGGTGGTGGTGACACGCAACTTTAATCCCAGCACTCAGGAGGCAGAGGCAATTGGATCTCCAAGTTCGAGGCCAGCCTGGTCTACAGAGTGAGTTCCAGGATAGCCAGGACTACACAGAAAAGCCCTGTCTTGAAAAACCAAAATAATAATAATGGTGATAATAATAATAAGAGCAGTAGTAGTAATGGTAAAAAGACTGGGTCATCAGCCTGTGTCACTATTGGGAAATAGTGACACATTTAGGAGGCAGAGCCTGGTGGGAAGAGGCACTGGGGTACTGGCCCCCTCCTTCTCTCTCTTCTGCCACACCCACCGCAGCGTACTGTCTCCCACTGACCCAGGCTCAGGGCAGGGACTGAAGCCTCTGAAGCTGTGAGCCAAGACAAGCCTGTCCTGCTGTGCACTGACTGTCTCAAGCATTTCGTGACAGTGTTGGAAATCTGATAAACGTTCTATCTCAGACAGATACACCCACTCCCACACAGCATTGTTTTTACCTCTTCCCCTTTCAGGAGCCTTGTGCATGCTAGGTGAGCACTCTGAGACTGAGTCATCCCCACCCTATCACTGTGGGATTCTAGTCAGAGACTCTGCTGCAGAGGTGGATCCCCTGCCTAGAGTCTCCCAGTGAGGGCCTCAGGGGGTTCTGAGCAAGGAAAGGGGATACAATCCAGGTGCAGGGCTGAGGGGTTGGGAGGGGCACTGATGGACAGACGGACAGACCTCAGTCAGCACCGTGGACAGATCCAGTTTCTTCCTCTCATTCTAGGCCTGCCATGGAAGGTGCCAACCTCAGCGGGGTCTCTGAGTTCCTGCTGCTGGGCCTGTCACAGGACTCCAGCCAGCAGGAGCTGCTCTTTTCTCTCTTCCTAAGCATGTACCTTCTCACAGGCCTGGGGAACCTGCTCATCATCCTGGCTATTGCCACCGATCCCAGGCTCCACACGCCCATGTACTTCTTCCTGGCCAACCTGGCCTTTGTAGACATCTGCTTCACCTCCACCACCATCCCCAAGATGCTGGCCAACCACATGTCAGGACACAAAAGCATCTCTTACTCTGGTTGTCTCACACAGATGTTCTTCTTCATCTGGTTTGCCGGCATCGACAGCTTCCTGCTGACCGCCATGGCCTATGACCGATACGTGGCCATCTGTCACCCTCTGCATTACACTACATCCATCACACCCTGCCTCTGTGGCCTCCTGGTCGCTGCCTCCTGGACCTCGGCCTTTGCAAATGCCCTGACCCACACAGTCTTGCTGCCTCGCCTCTCATTCTGTGCCCGCAACCAGATCCCCCACTTCTTCTGTGACCTCAGCTCACTGCTGAAGCTGGCCTGTTCAGACACGTCTCTCAACGACACCATGGTGTACACTGTGGGTGCACTGCCCATCATCCCCACCTTCGTGGGCATCCTCATCTCCTACATGCGCATCTTCGCAGCAGTGCTGAAGATCCCATCTGCGGGAGGGAAGCGGAAGGCATTCTCCACCTGTGGCTCCCATCTGTCTGTGGTGTCACTGTTCTATGGGACACTCATCGGGGTGTACTTCAACCCCACATCCTCCCACACAGCCCAGAAGGATACGGCAGCTGCGGTGATGTACACTGTGGTCACCCCCATGCTGAACCCCTTCATCTATACCCTGAGGAACAAGGACATGAAAGGTGCCCTGGGGACCCTTATCGGAAGGAAGACAGTCTTTGTTGGGTAACCACAAGGTTGGGAGTTCTTCAGAAGGGTGGAAGTTAAGCCCCTTTGGCTTGAATTGCCCAGACATTCATCTCATGGCTTTAATTCACCAATTATTTTATTCTCCCAAAGTTGTTTACAAAACAGTCATTTGCTTTTCTCTCTCTCTCTCTCTCTCTCTCTCTCTCTCTCTCTCTCTCTCTCTCTCTCTCTCTCTCTCTCTCTCTCTCTCTCTCTGTGTGTGTGTGAGTGTGTGCAGTGCCCATGGAGGCCAGAACTAGGCACTGGATCCTTATAGCTGGAGTTACAGGCGACTGTGAGCCACCTGACATGGTGCTGGAACGCAATTTTGAACCCTCTGGAAGAGCAGTGAGCGCTCTTAACTACTGAGCCATCATTCCAGAATGGCCCGAATCCTGTGGCAGACAGGAAAGAGCAGAGGGGGGACAGAGGAAGGAAGGAGGGAGGGACAGACAGCTTTACAGCCCACCCCACCCCCATTATAACAACCACACTTTCACAGAGATTGGATCACTCCGATAATTCTAATTCTGGAATTAATCATTTCTTCCCCGGCTCTGCATCCTATCCTGGACCCACCAGATCTTGTCCAGTCTTGGAGCCCAGTCCTGTGACCTGGTCACCTCTCGTTGGCCACAGCTCTGGTGCTGACGTACTGGGGGGGTTCTTCCTTCTTGTTCCCCTACCAGTCCTAAGTCCTGCCCTGGCTGGGCCCTGGCTCTGCCTGTACTGTACACTGGGTAGGTGCCACCCTCTGGTCCACCATCACAACCCTGCACCCTGTAGCTTCAGTCAGTCACAAGCGACCATGGCCCAAAACAGTGTCCAGTGGAACGTTCCAGACTCTAGGGTGTCCACCAAGCTTGGTCACCCGACTTTGATCCCCGGGACTCACATGGTGACAGGAGCAAACGGACTCTCACGTGGCGTGCTCTGACCCCACACGCCTGTCACAGCGAGCACGCCCATGTATGTACACCAAATAAATTCATTAAAACGTAAAAGAAAAACAAATAGTTCAAAAAACAAAGAAATCCAAAGTTTTGAATTTTTTATTTTATCTTATTTTTTATGTGTATGAGTGCTTGCCCACATGTGTGCCTGTGCACCGTGCGTGTGCAGTGCCCGGAAGAGGGCGTTGGATCCCCTGGAGCTGGAGTCACAGATGCTTGTGAACCTCCGTGTGGGTGCTGGGAACGGAACCTGGGTCCTCTGCGAGAGCAGCCAGTGCTCTTCTTAACCATGGAGCCGTCTCTCTAACACCCAAATTCCCAATCATTTGGCATTCTTCCCACGTGATGATAGCTTATGCTGCTCCACTCCATCCCTCCCAGAGTGGGAGTACTCCTCTATTCAGCGTGTCCATGCTGTACCTACCTGCCCATGACTCGAGCTAAACGTCTCGGCACTGGGTGCCCATTTTCCAATGGCATCCCCACACCCCATCTCAGCGCCCGCGTCATTGGCTCCTGCGGCCGCACAAGCATCCTATCGTCTCCTGGTACCCCAAGATGCACAAGAACGATACGGTAACACAGTCGGAAGCTAAGCATGGTGGTGCATCTGGGGGGCTGGGGTGGGAGAGTGTGGAGTTTAAGGCCAGCCTGGGATACAGACTGAGACCTCGGAGAGACAGGGGAGCAGAAGAGAGGTAGAGAGAGAAGGGGAAAGGAAGGGAGGGAGAGAGAAGGAGATGATGAGGGGGAAGAGAGAGAGGAGACCATGTTCACATAATTTTATCACCGTTTGTTACTAGTTGTTTATTGTTAGGGTGCTGTTGTGCCTAACTTATAAATTCATCTATAACATTTCTTACATGTGTGTATGTATGGAAGTGCACCTTTGTCATGACATCTGTGTGGAGGTCAGAGGACAACTTGTGGGTGTTGATTCTCTCCTTCCAAGTCAGGTCATCAGGCTTGGCCGCAAGCACCTCTACCCACTGATCCATCTCGAGTATAGTCCCTGGCTGTCCTGGAACTCGCTCTGTAGTCCGGGCTGGCTTCAAACTCACAGAGATCTGCCTGCCTCTGCCTCCCAAGTGCTGGGATTAAAGGCGTGCGCCACCACCAAGCTTAGATTAATTTTTTTGAAAATATTTGTTTATTCTCTCTCTCTCTCTCTCTCTCTCTCTCTCTCTCTCTCTCTCTCTCTCTCTCTGTGTGTGTGTGTGTGTGTGTGTGTGTGTGTGTGTGTCCACAGAGGTCACAGAAGGCATCGGGAGGGCATTGGGACCTTTGGAGCTGGGGTCATAGGTGATTGTGAGCTGCCAGATATGAATGCCGGGATCTGAACTCTGGCCCATGGTGAAACAGCAATCACTCTGGCCACTGAGCCATATCTCTGGTCTCACTAATGAATTATTGGTGAAATTATTACGGCCACTCCACGTAGTTAAAAGGAGATTTATTTAATAGCGTAACTTACAAATGAAGGAATAGGTAGGTTGAGGGTTCTGGGAAAGACGCAGCAGTAGTCCGGCGATGTTCTCTGGAGAACTCTCCTCCGTCCACCTTTAGCATCCAGGCTCCCAGCAGCAAGAGAGCGCACCATGTCCCGATCTCGGGTCTTCAGGGCCTCCCTTGGCTCCACCTTGTGGGCGTGATAGTTACCAAAGCCTCAGTGGCGGTTGGAACTTCCAGACCAAAGCTGGAATGGCTACCCACTACAATGAATCTTTACCACAGATGTTTAACCGTGGTTAACCTGGTTAATTGTGACTGCCAGATTGGTTATATTAGGAAATGGCTAAGGGGTCATTGCAAGCTCTTGATAAATGCAGCTCCCACCTGTTATCACAGGGGCTTCTTTTTGCAGCAGATGGAGGCTGTTACAGAGACCCACAACTGATCAAATGCAGAGAACAAGTGGCCATGGGCGTGCAGTCCCAAAAGGGACATCTATACCACGACCCATCCCAAAGCTCAGCGGACATCATGGGAAGGGGCGGAAAGGATTACTGCAAGATAGTTGTAGACATGACAGGAAAGCTGTAGCCGCAATCCCAACACCACGTCACCCACACAAGACACGCACTGTGATGCTCTGCCCACAGAGGTGGAGCCCAGCAAGCATGGACAGAGCCCTCTGCAACCTTGAGTCAAAGTTGATCCTTCCTCACCCTCCTCACCACAAAAGCCAACACGGCTGGATACATGGCTCCGCAGACAAAGGCATTTGCCACCAAGTTGGATCCCCAGAACTCACGTGGTAGAAGAGAACCTATTCACACAAGTGGTCCTTTGGGCGCCATATGTATGCCACGGCAATACACCCCCAGATATATGTACACTCAGGAGAAATAATGCAATTTTAAACCAGGCGGCGGTGATATATGTCTTTAATCCTGGCACACAGGAGGCAGAGGCAGGCAGATCTCTGTGAGTTTCAGGCCAGCCTGGTCTACAGAGCTGTTTCAAGGACAGCCAGAGCTACACAGAGAAACCCTGTCGCAAAACAAAAACAAAAACAAAAAAAGGAAAGAAAATAAATTTAAATTTTTTTAAGATTGTGTGTGTGTGTGTGTGTGTGTGTGTGTGTGTGTGTGTGTGTGTGT